CCCACTCCATCAAGCGGCCCCAGAGTGCCTTGAGAATCTCTCCGCCGGCCTGCAGGCAGCTCACATGACATAAATGCCACAAGAAGCTAATTGGAAATAAACAAAACCGGGGGAAAGGGCAGAATGTTGTGTGTGAATTACCAAAGGTGTTAATATACTCAGAGCGAGACTTTGAAGAGTTCTGCGTTTGCTCGAGGCACATAAAAACATCCAACTCGTGACCTTTGCAACAGGAAGTGAGCATGTTGGCTGTTCACCAGGGTTTAGGGCCAGTAGAAATGCATCAACCACATTTATAACATGTTTTTGTTTATTACATAAGCACTTGATTGATACTAATGTGCTCAGAAAAAGTCAATAGTAAACAACAAGGGGCACAGCCACAGACCTAGTTTTAATTGTCTAACTCTTCCAAATTATAGTAATACCGCTTATTATTTAAATAAATGGGTCTTTAAAGGGGTATACACTAGTACCGGTCAAAAGTTTGAATAATGGTTCGTATTATTATCAATGCTGAAAACTTGGAAATCTTTTGAAACAGTATAAATGTCTTTACTGCAAAAGTGGCAGTAAATACGTTTATAATGTTACAGAATATTTCTATGTCCCAGTCTTCAACACTGATAATAATAAGAACCATTATTAATAACTGAGCACCAATAATAATTGATAAGAACTGAGCAGCAAATCAGCATGACTTCTGAAGGATCATGTGACACTGAAGACTGGAGTAATGATGCTGAAAATTCAGCTTTACATCACAGGAATAAATTACATTTTTAAATATTTTCAAATAAAACTCTAAATGACGCTTAAACCCTGAGAACATTGAGCTTAAAGAGGAAACCAGGCCGACATCCAGCGTATGGAGCCACATAGAGGCCGAGAGAATAAAAGGTTGTAGCTGGTAGCAGGTGAGGTTGAAGATGAGATGAATGGAAAGAGAAATATACTCTGACATCCCATTTGTGAGAGCCAGTGTGCATGAGAGAGAGATCTCATTCTGTACTTAATGAGGACGGCGGTAATAAGGGAAGGAGAGATAAACCAATGCGGTGTAATTTCAGCCGATTCAGATAGAAAGTATCTCTATTAGCAGACTATCAGGACGCTGCGTTCCTGCCAGAACTCCCACAAACAGCAGCGGTGAGGGCGGACACAACCATCGTCTGTGAGCAATGTGACCACTTACATGCTCAATTGCTCACACATTTCCTTGTTTTACCACTACTGTTGATGCTGCTGTGCAAACGTTCACGTTCATATTGTGACTGACAGCTGAGGTGTTGCTATACATGTTAGAGGAGACCGGGGCTAGTTGTCACATCATGGGAATGTTTCAGTAGAAAAATAATTTTTCTCATGCAGTGATTTTTGCATGTTGGTTTAAAACACTTTGTGTTTTCTGTTTACGGCCTGATGGTGCGCATATTTATCGGCATATATATATATATATATATATATATATAGCCCTATATACATTTAAAATCTATGGATAATTTTTCCAATTAAGAGATGTCTTCTGCATGTCCCCGAAGGTTTTTTTTGTTGTCAAACTGAGTTTACTTCTAGGTACAAATTTATCTCTGAAGTATAGCTCGCCCACACCCACCCACACACACACACACATACTACCTGAGGTGTCTTGAGTTCCCAGCTGCCACTATGACACACATTAATTATCATTGTGTTGATCTGACAGCAGAGAGCAGGGGTCTCCAGCCTTTAGCTGTACAAAATACAAGCAAATCCACATTTGATATGACAGCTTGGGGAAAAAATGAAAAGGATGGTGGTCATAAGGTGATATAAAGAAAGAAAACAACACCATTTTGGACACATTTGACTGAATTTGTTTCTAAACCTTTTGATCTGAAGGTTTATTAAATGCTTGAAAATAATTCTGCAGAAATATATAAAGTGTGCCTATAAGAATGTATTAACATGAGCTATTTTAATTTAAATCTAAAATATAGGCCTGATACAATTTTAAATTGATATATTGATTTAATAAATTAATTAATAAGTTATTAAATAAATAGAAAAAACGTTTATGGTCACTATATATAATCCCCATAATTCAATTTGTTATATTTTGTTATAAAACGTATTCAGAAAGTGACAGTTATTGTTGTAAAACGTCCAGGAAAAAAAGTAGGCTGTGTTCAAACTTTTGACTGATATTTATACTTAATGTATTTTTATGTGTTTGTGTACGTAGCCTATACATACAGAGAGACTTTGTAATAAAACTCAGGCAAATATAATTCAGCTCAATATTACAATACACAAACACATCTGTCATATAGGCATAGAGATGTTTATTGAGTGAGTCTGTTATTGGACTTGAGTTTCTATTAGTCTGAATGACAAATGCAAGACTGAGGGAGACATTTATTATTAAACCCCGTGATGACAGGCAATCAATATGCAGGTGTTTGCCAGTGTCCCAGACGCAGGTGAAAACAAAATTATTGACTTACATGCAGTTTTTGCTGTGTGATAATCCAGTTACGGCCTCCTGCAGTCTGTCAGGTGAAATGAAATGGCGGCGCTCAGAGGAAGTTTGTGTGTCTCGTGCGTTGAGAACAGGAGACGAGATTAGCGTCAAAACCTGCAGCTTTAAAGTTTGTGTTTTTTATCTAGTTAAAGGCTTGTAACAGAAGTAGCGATACGTGTTTTCTTCCCTATTGTGACATAGTCCTATCCCGGAGTGAAACTCTTGCCTTCTCGAACAAGAAAAAATGTAGGGCGGGACTTGATTTTTCCCATCGAGAATTGTTGATCTCGTGTGAGTGACAGGTTGTTATGGAAACTTATTTCTGCCACAGAATAAAACATTTTAAAAGATAATTGCTACTTTTTATCTCACAATTGCTAGTTTACATCTCGCAATTCTGACTTTATTTCTCAGAATTGTGTGATTATAAAGTTGCAATTGCATGTTATAAAGTCAGAATTGCGAGCGAGATATTACTCACAATTGCGTGTTATAAAAGTCAGAATTTCGAGATTTAAACTCACAATTGCGCAACTCTGACTTTTTTTCTCGCAATTCTGACTTTATAACAATTGTGAGTTTATCTCGCAATTCTGACATATTTTCTCAGAATTTCTATTCAGGAAAAAAAAAGAATGACTTTTTTTTATATCACAATTCTGACTTTATATCATGCAATTCTGACTTTATATCTTACAATTGCGTGTTATAAAGTCAGAATTGTGAAATATAAACATGAAATCCTGAGAAAAAAGTCAGAATTGCGAGTTATGTCAGAATTGCGAGTTTATATCTCACAAATCTGACTTTATAACATGTAATTGTGACTTTATATCACGCGATTCTGACTTTATAACACAATTGCGACTTCATATCATGCAATTCTGAGATAAAAAGTCAATGGAATAAATACTGCAATATTCCATAAAGAAAATGTGCATGCATATGAATGGAAAGAAAAGTGTAGTTTGACACTTCAAGTGTGTGCTAACCGAAATGCTGCGATTCATTGTGGTTTCCCTCCTCAATGTTCAACCCTACAGACCATGGCCTTTAATAAGCTAATGATGACGCACATAAACCTGCAGTCTTCGTGACAACTAAACAAACAATTGCTGAGGTCAGAGGGGTCTGTAGGCACTGAAAGTTGAAAACTTTAGCTTAACTGGCTTTATGTGTTTTAATGAGCAATGCTAATGCCACTGGATGTTCACTGAATAAAGTGAACTAAAGTCAAAGTGTTCCCTTACTTGTGCTTGAACTTTGCTGCCTCAGTAGTTTTCTTCAGTCATTGACCATTATGTCACCTGATAATTACTGTTATTCACTGCCCGGCGGTTTGGATTTAAATAGGCAAATGCTTACGAGTCTATGATTGGATGATTATCGCAGTGATTATTATGTTTCTACATGTTAGGCTATATGTTTGGCTACAGTTTTTCTAATCCTAACTGATGGAGTGTGTCGCTTTTCATTTCTTAAACAACCATATAGGAAGACACATCATGCTGACCATATTCCAGGATGACAATGTCAAGATTCATCAGGCTCAGACTGTGTAAAAATGGTTGGGAGGAGCATGAAGAATCATTTTCACACATGAATCGGCTCTTCTGAGTTCAGATGTTAAATTCAGTGAAAGTGTTTGGGATGTGCTGGAGGAGACTTTACAGAGTGCTGGACTCTTGCATTGACAATACAAGATCTTGACTCAGTATTTATGCACCTCTTGATGGAAACAACATCACAACATTTATTTCCATCAAGAGGTGCATCAATTTTTGCAGCAAGAATTTTTTGGCTTTGTCATCCTGGAATGTAGCCATGATGTGTCTTCCAATCATTTGCCTATTTAAATCCAAAGAGTGACTTTTTTCTGATTCTCTTTCCTTTCATTAAAAAAAAAAAAAAGATTGTCTATTTGGTGAAGCAAATCTACAAAATCAGCCTAAAGATCCATTCACACCAAAATGGACCTGCTCAAGAATGTTTCCAAACCTGACTGGAAGAGAAACACATTCTGGTCATCAATGTGTTTTTTGAAAACAGATAATATTAAGTAGAAGATATGTGTGAGAGAAAAACTCAATCTAGGTCATGTGGTTGTGCATGGCGAGGACCAGTTCACCTGATGGAGCATTTTGTCTCTCTAAATGCAGCCAGAATCTGAACATATTTAGTGACATAATTGTTTTATTTTCTTATATAAGAAATAACCTGGTGCATTTATTCTCCTCGATTTCTTAACCTGTTTAATTTGTTTGGTCAACAGAAGTGCACACAAGTGAAGTGCACATCACGTCGAAAACAAGGTGGTAGGAAACCAGATGCACTGCACTTTCCATTTCCTGCCATTGACCCGTCAATACCACCAGAGTTTCCACCCTGAAACTTTCTTTCTCGCACGTAATGACACAAGCATCACAGTCAATGGTTTTCACACACTTTTATTTTAAATGACAAAAGAACCCACAGTAAAAGTGTCAGAATCAAATCTTAGAAACATTTCTAAGAAGGCTGAGAGGTGTAGCCGACATCTGTACAGCATAACACTCGAACTTTTCACGGTTAGACACGGTGTGCACTAATATATATATATACATGTTTGAATTGCATCAGTTTGGGCATGAACATATCCAAGTAGTTATCCGTGTCAGTTTGCAACATCTTTTTCAGAGAACCAAAAAGACTAAGACAAATAAGTAGAAATAAGAACAAAACACTCTTATCAGTGGAGCTGCTGCAAACAGAGAGATTAACATCTGATACCGCGATCAAGAGCTCAAGGGGTTTCCACTGTATCTGAAGATTAAAACAGTTTCTGCTATTTACAAAGACATTCGCACGCAAGAAAGAAAAATGCTAATTGCAGTCCAATGAACATCACGTTTGTCTTTCCTTTCTGGTGGTCATTTGTCTTCTGCTCCCCTCTGTAGATCAAAGTAAGACCAGTAAACTGGTACTTGATACTGTAAAGAGAGAAAGAACATGAAACAAACATTCTTGTCATTTGAAATATGGATGAAATGGTTTCATCAGAACCCTGTAGAATTTAAAGAGCTGATAAAAGAGCAGATTTGGCACAGAACGAGGCTCAGACGCACACGGGTGAGATCTCAGAGAACTGAATTGCAGATATTGCTCAGAGATTGTACGTTGTGACATCATACAGTAATGTGGGAAGCAAAACAATCCAGAGTAAAAGCATGTTTTAATTTATTCTAATTCAACAGATAAACATGTTTTTTTTAAGATCTAGCTGGATACTTGCATCTGTACATCACAGATATTGGATTTATTGTGCTCTGAACTGCAATGCGTTATTGTTGATTTGGGTCAAGTGTCCTGCAAATTTCTGTGTGCATATTAACCGAATGACCTGCATTTGCCAAAATTATACATTACAGAACACACTCCTAGATGACGTTTCAACATTTCTTTACTGGTTGAATCATTGTTGAATTTTGTTTCGATTTTGCCATTCGAATTAAAGCTAATATTGCGGCTGGCAGGGTTCTGCCCTGGCAGCTTTGTCTGTGTTGTCGTTGTTTCATGTCTCTATGTTTGTGTTGTGCTTGAACATATGGTTTTGTTTGTGTTGGCCATGTGCTCCTCTGTTCCTGCCTCCTTGTTTCCCTGTACCACGCCCTCTTGTCTAGTTGAGTCCTCATTTGTCTGAGTATTGTCACCTGTTCCTCATGTTCTCTGCTCCCTTGTTTCAGTCCTCGTTTACGTGAGTGTTCACCTGTTACTCTTGTTAACTCCCTTTATGTGTGTGCTCTTTCCCTCATGTGTTGCCAGTTCGTTAGATGTTGTACTACTGTGTACTTCTGTGCTACATAGTTTGTTTCTTGTTATTAAAGTCTACAGTGTTTTATTTGTAGAAGTATTTTGTGCTTTAGTCCTGCCACCGGTCCTGTCTGTCTTGTCTTCTGTGACTACGTTTACATGCAGCCAAATTTCGGGTTATGGTCGGGTTAAGGTCACTATTCGGGTTTCTGAAACATTAGGAATAACCCGTTTACATGCGTGAGCAGAGAGAGTTTCTCCTGTATACATGGAATTGCAATATCCCGATGTAAACGCGACGCGCGGTTAGCGTCTGGACGTACGGACAACCTTAAGACGCAATATGCGTCATTTCCGATTCTTCTTCCTGTATCCAAAGACAACAACAACAGCAGCAGCACGCGGATAATGAATAGTTCGGGGCAGATAGCGATCGCCTTTGTTTGCGCTTTGGTGCTGGTAAGGTTACTGACCTCGCTCCAAAAGTATGCTGTGCTGCGTCTCGCCATGTTTACTTCCGGTATACTGCACGCGGGGTTTTGTATGCGCCGAGAAGTTTCTCTACTCAAAATACCAAGATTCCTTGCGAATAGAACATGCGCAGAACACACATCACTATGGGGATATGCCGATGCGCGTTTACATGACCAAAAATTCGGGTTAGAAAAGGGGTACCCCAGGTATAATATCCCGGTTTTTAAAATCCGGGATATGAGCATATTCGGGTTTTTGCCGGTGTTTACATGGCCGTTCGCGACCGGGTTATTGCTAATATCCCGGTTTTGAACGGGTTATTGGCTGCATGTAAACGTAGTCTGTGTCTCTAGTTCCAGTCCTGCTAGCAGAGTGTCCCTGACTGCTTACACTCTTGGTTTTGGAGGAAGCCTGGTGCTGTGCCTAAGGCCCCATCCACACTACTGCGGTTTCGTTTAAAAACGGAGACCTTTTGCTACGTTTGCACCTCCCGTCCACACTAAAACGGCAAAAACGGAGACCCAAAACGGAGAAGTTTAGAAACGCTGCCGATCCGTTTTTCGTTTTGAATCTCCGGAGGGCGTTTTAGTGTAGACGGGTCAAAACGGAGGACTTTAGAAACGATGACGTATAGAGGCTCACGCTCGGCTCTATGATTGGGTGTCATCAGTCATGGCGTATATCTTTGCTAGCAGCTGTTGTACAAGTAAATTCTGCATTTTACAACGCTATAACTGCCTACATGTGCCAGAGTCAAGCTATTATTCGAGCGATCTGTGACAATTCCCGTGTGCAGCGGCGGCGTTGACCGTACATGGAGCGTCGGTTTGGGGTTAACCCAGAGCATGGTGGGATAATTTTATTAATGAAGTTGTGTTTACACCGGCACGCGCATGCCCAGTGTTGGTGAATGGTCACGTGATCTGCGTTTTCAGTCGTTTTAATGTGGACGGAGATAAATTCTAATACTCAGCTAAAACGCTGGTGTGGACGGAGATCGTATTCGTTTTATTTATCCGTTTCTAAACTAAAACGCAGTAGTGTGGATGGGGCCTAAGATCCCTGAGTGCCTTACTGGAGTACTTGGAAGTTCCTGTCTGGCTACTGCTAGTATTCTCAGGTCTCATTCTGCTCTGCCATTACTACTCTCCAGCTTCCAGTCATCTTGCTAGTTACAACTGCTGCTCGGCTAGTTTCTATGGCTGTCATTGTGTCTCATCCCTGCCTGGACTGTTCACCTCTCCCACCACATCCTGTCATCTGTCTACTGTTTGTCAATAAACCTGTTAACACTCGTTCTGCATTTGAGTCCTCCTTTATAGAACCCCTGACAGCGGCATTGTTTCAATGTCTTTTAAACATAGGTGAATGAATTTCAGACATTATTTCAGACATTGTAAGCGCCGAAGGTCAGTCAAGTGCGACTGGGACTGTGTGGGATATGTATCCCACAATACATTGCACTTCAGTGCAGTGTGGCAGATGAACTAAGCAAGATACATAACAAGAAGTTGAAGAGTGAAGAGATTGGAGTAAAATAAATGCAAAAAAAAAAAGCATAATAACCCTATTTATTTGATGAGACGTTAATCATCTAAATAAAGACCTTACAAAATTTGTATTTTTAATAAAAAATAAAAAAATCTGCTTTGAAAAAAATGTCCATTGTGAATAAAATGACCTTTAGTGAACATGCAGCATCATGAGGTCATGTGACACCAATGTACATGTAGCATGCTAAAGACTGACTGTAGCATTACACTGTTTTTACAAAATAATACACAGTACATACTTTGCAGTATGTAGTACGCTAGTAATCCATTCCGAACAGAGCCAAAGACCTACATATTCTCATCACAATTCTCTACTTTTTTCACCTTTTATAGTTTTTTTTTTCTTTTTTTTCAGTAATGTTTAGGCTTTATAGATATAACTTAGGTTAGGGTTGTATGTTTTTACATGACTCAACAAATACAATTTTGCCATGATCTTGTATGTATTATTACGACTTCTCATGAGGCGGGATCTCACTTACCCATTGGAGAGATCCTCGAGAGGAGCCTGTGCTGCCGTCCTCCTCCTCCATGTGCTCATGCTCCTCACCCTCACTGTGTGGCGTCTGGCGGATCACCACTCGTTCTGAGGGAAGATATCCTCAATTAGTTTAGTTTTTTTTTTTGTATTTTACATTGAAAGTTTAAACTTAGTTAAAGGTTTAGTAATTTTGTGGTGTGTTTTTGTCATTTCTTCAGGTTTTAAAGGGATAGTTCACCCAAAAATGAAAATTGTCATCATTTATTCACCCAGTTGTGGGGATTGACTTCCATAGTTTTTATGATTATGATTATACATGTCTGATTTTTTATGATTATACATTTCATACATTTCACAACATATTAATTATGTGTTTGTGCAGGTCTAACTTAGTTCCAGATGGATCTAATCTCCATTACTGATTTTCTTTTTTTCACAGATATACAGTACCATATACAGTATACTCTGTATACTGTACTACAGTATACGGTATACTCCCCCAAATAAGTAGTGCTCTTTTTAATTTTTGATTTATTTACTGACACATATGACTATAAACAATTTGGTCAGATAAATCTATGCAGAGGATACTACAACATGTCTGCACTGCAAGCAAGCAATGTGACCCAACAAATACACACTGTTCCCATTATAAATCAACAAAGTTGTCTATACTGCAAGTAGCATTGCATATATATATATACACATCTACATACTGTATGTACATAGGGTGTTAAAGTCCACGTGACAAAAAAACTGTCTACAAAAAAAAAAGTGGTTGAGTACAGTGGTTCTGCTTCAGGAACCAGGTTTTACTTTGGATCTTGTAGAAAAGTAAACAGAATATGTTAATATTAATTATATTAATATGAACTCCGTAGGCCCAATGATATAAAAATGAATATGTCATTGGGTGAATAGGAAAATTGTACCAATACTATTTTATAAATGCATAAACATCCAAAGTGTGTTCTATCAGCCAAACACATGGAACAAACACTGAACCTAAATATTGAAATAATATTAGCCAAATGATAGAATTGAGTATGATTGTTATGATTATTATTTTGTTGCTTTCAACATTATTTTCCTTGCTATTTGGGGGTTGCAACTCACCATTTGAGAACATTTATTTGTATATAAATATATATATACATTTTTTCGTATAAAATACAAATTCATATTTTTATATTATAATTTTTTTTTACTTTAACTGTTACTTGTAAAAGTAATGTTAAATGTGTGTTTGAATAAGCTCAACAGTTGCACTTCCTGTGTGGAGGGGCAACACCGTTACAAACTCTGACAAGCTTTGACAGAAAACACCTGCTCACACAGCAACTTTCTGACATAGGCTACATTACTTTTCATATTACATGCACTTGCATCATACACTGCTCAGTTAGTCAGTGAGAGTGTCTGGATCTTTGCATGACAGCGTGCTGTTGTTTAGTCAGCCGAAGAAAATGTCCAACCCTTCCTTTAAATGAATAATAAATGGACACTGGTTGTGAGTTCAGTTTTGGACCGGGTATAAGTGGCGTCAAAAAAACTCATAATTCCTAATGGAGTTTTAATATCTTACCTTTGCAGGAAAAAGTACAGTCAACACACATGCAGCAGACGATAAAGGAATGCAAAATAATAATTAAAAATTTTTTTTTTTAAATTCACAAAATGATCCCATAATGAACCCCTCATATATGAAGCACCTGACTGAATCCTTCTAGGTTCTATAAAGCCTTTTCTTCTAAGACTGTAATGAGTCTCAGTATTAAAATTAAGCGTACCTGATGTTTTACAGGAGTTCCTCATCTTGCAGAGACTGAAGGTCAAGCAGAGGGTCACCAGGACGATGGCAGCGGCCAGGGACAGCGGCAGGATGGGATCTGATGGCAGGTTTGTGGATGTACTCTCTGTAGTCTGGGTTGTTTGAGGCAAGGGAGGACCTTCAACAGAAGAAATAGACTGAATCAAATATTGTATGAGTTTAATAATGGTGGTCTTCTAGTCTTTTAACTGTATTGGAATGTGTAGAATAAATTATATTGTGATGGTAAAATCTTACCAGTCGTTGTCTTTTGTAGTTGTCTGACCCTGACAGATATATCTGTTCCAGTTCCATTTACCTTAAGTAGGACTGGAATGTCTTGAGTCACTTCACAAACATAATGACCTGTATGATTTTTAAGTATGTTTGTGAGGTGGAGCGTTGAACAGTTCTGTGTTTGATGCTCTTGGAGTTTATCCTTTACTCCTGAAAGTCTAGTCTCATTGATGTACCAAACAACTTTAACACTATGCTCGTTTATTGTCTTCCAGCAGCAGGAGATTTGAGCAGAATCTCCCTCATTCACAGTGATGTTAGATGGGCTCTGATTCACAGTCAGCTCCTCACTTGAACCTGTGACTGAGAAACAATAACAAACGAGAAATACATGAATGTTTATGGCTGTTGTTCTTGATGTTGTAGTTTGTTTCTTTAGGGACTTCTCCATTACTCAGACTTGAATCTGTTATCAATAAATCATTTTAACCATATGAAACAGGAACCATAAAAAAAGTATAACTTCATATCTAAAAATGTTTATATATATATATATATATATATTTAAATAGATTATTTTTCCAGGGTGCAATCCTGTCCGTCATGTAGAATTTTATTTTGCTAAATTGGATTTGAAGACCAGTGGAAACAAGTCTTTAATTAGACAAAAAAAAAAAAAAAAAATCAGACAATAATGGTGTAAAGCCACTGATAAAAAAGTGGAAAAGAGAAAAGACCATATACAACATATAAAATATTTTTTATTTTAATGAATGTCTTATATAATGGGTGATAATTATGAAACAACTAAATAAAAGTATCTTACTTGTCTTTTTGCTTTTTGCTAACATTGACAAATATCCTTAAAGACATTTCCAAGGAACTTGCTTATGTTTCTTTTTTCTGTTGTGTGTTGTAAAGTTTTACATTTTGCTAAAGTTTTAGCAAAAGTACCATTATGTGCTATATAGATGATAATATATGACACATAATTACTTTATGGTGATTCATCAATAAACATATAAAACAAACCCATACAGCTCATTTCGGTCTAAATATATCAGCTCATATCTGCCATATTTTCCATATATTGTAATCATTATGATCGCAACATGTAATCATTGCTAATTTTTTTCTGGTTAAATGAATACATGTTGTTAGCTAACTTCATGATTTGTATTATCTTAGAACTGTAAATTTCTACAATATGGACATTTCTTTGACACAGTCACCTGATAACGGATTGCTCTTAATTGTAACCAAGTAGTAACTGATTAATTGTAATCTGGATTACGTTATCAGATTCTAAAAATTTAAATACTTATAAATAGATAATATTACATTACAAAATATTTATAATCCGAATTCGGATACTTTTTTGTTGATTACATTATTACTTAATAATCACAAAATGGCAATAAATTATTCAGAATTCTTCTTATTTTATCTTTAAATTTTTCTTTTCTCAAAGGTTTTGTGGAATTGCACACACAGACCGGCCATTAGTCAAGTGACTATAATTACGTATAGCTACATTTTTTTAATGTAACGTTTTTATGATTTAATTAGCTTTTTTACTTTATACCTTCTATTCCTTCCCAAACCCAGGCGTAATATAATGTTTAATGCGCTTCATTTTGTTAATAACAAAATTAGAATATATTTTCTTTCTCTTTGCATTTTTTTTATCAATATGGTACAATATTATACCATTCAAATCAATGTTATAAACATGTTGTATCAAAAGTAATCTAAAAGCAATCAACAAATCTGATTATATTACCCAAAATGCGTAATGTAGCCTAATTGATTATGTTACTAACTACAATTATTATTTAGTTTGTATTCAGTAATGGACTAAAATTTGTAAGTTATCTACCCAACACTGACTGTAATGTAGAAACGTGCATTATCTGTAAAGCTGCTTTGACATTACGCTTTTTGAAAAGTTATACTTGATACAAATAAATGTGAATTGACCTGTATTGAATAAATATCCAAACATTGACTACTTGTTTAAAAATGTCTTGCTGCAATTTAAATGTATAAATATTCCTCCTTCCTCATACAGCTCTACCTCTTAAAAAGTACATTTAAAAATCAACATAACAAATATGCAAGTTAATTTGTAAATATCTAAGGCATATGACAAATCAGATAAAAAGTTACACAAAGGAATACAATTCAGATTATTCTATACAGAGCTACAATACGACCTCAATAAATGATAAACAAGTGTTTATTAAATTGTAAGCTAGCTGAATGAGGAAGGCAGCATCATCTCACAACTCTACGAACATCTGATTTACTTTATTTTACACTAATGTCGAATAGTATCCTGAAAAGTCTGTGCTGGTTTTCCATTCAGGAAGGTGTTTTGAGCGACACTTACCTCTGAAACAAAGCCATGACATGAGGAACCCACACAGGAGTCTGGAGGAACACTTCATTTCTGAGCATCTGCTGAGAATCTGAACTCTGAGTCTTTACTCCCACATCACAACCGTTCACACACATGAGACACTCGTGCTCTCAGATTTTCTCAGAACATCCCCTACCCCCCCAAACGACCACGCAGCTAATTTTTGCCAAACCACAACACTGATCTCACACTCGTTCTCCCCTGGACACACAACCATGCACAACCCCACAAGAAACACAGAAAGATTCATGCATGAAGTTGAACAAGTACATATATATATATATATTTCAAATCAGTTTCGATACATGTAAGAACTCAGTCACAGTCACTGCAAACCATTAGGACTCTGCAAACAAGCTACTATACAGGAAGTGACATCATAGACCTGAACAGCACACCCATATCTCCATTTCCTGTCTGTCTCACAGAGCTGAAACAATGTCATCTAGCACAGAAACGGTCACGTCTTCAACATCAGCCTTTAGATTAGTGTTTTCTGACGTGTCCAGAACAGAAACGGTCTTGTTTTCATTGCCATGATGAATGACTGAATGCAATGGTGATGAATCTTGTTCAACGTCCACAACTACAACAGCCTCTTTTTCTTCATTCTTTTCTTCTTCTGTTGCAGCATCAGTAACTTCAGGTTTCTCTGAGTTGTCCCTACCTTTCTCCTGTTCAGAAAGTTCAGTTTGATTTCTCTGTGTCTCTCCGGCCTTCAGTTCTTCATCCAGTCCTTCTTCTGATTCTACAGATTTGGATTGAAATGTGAATATACATAATGAAAATCAGTAAGATCTCAGCAACATCTAAGGGTATAAACTTACTTTAACTGTGGTACTAAGCTTAAACTTGCTTACCACATTTTGTCATGACAAAGAGACAAAAGAAGTGCATTGGTGCTCATGCATGAAAACAAACGGTCTGAGATGTTGTTAGACACTATATTCAAATGAACCCTTTGACCACAAGTTCATACATCACTGCTGTGGCTTTAAAATCTGAATATTATGTCAAGGGTTTTAGTGGTCTTAACAGAAGTAAATAACAAACTAAAACTTGTCTGGCTATGTGGTAGAAAGGCAGGGGGAAATTATATTGGTGCTACTTCACAAGAGAAAACTGAAAAAAGGGCTGTTGTCTTTTCTCTTTTGCCAAATAGGTAGGAAAACTTCAACACCCATAATGCACTGGGCATGTGGCCATCCAAGGCCACGCACATTCTGCTATGGATACGCTTGACCAGAGTCAAATACTGCCTTGCTTTAGTAGGAAATACTTCTTAGCAAACTTTTAATCATAATTGTGTCAACTTGTTCATGGGTGCAAAAATAAAAGAGTAAATGTTTAGCAGGAATGAGATATTTTTTGGTTTACAGTGAAGGATCCAGAGTGTTGTTTGCAGTGGCTAAATGACATGTGTTTTAGGTCAAACTGCCATTTCATCAGTTAATTTAGAAGAAGAGGAACAGAGAACATAACTGTTCTGTTAATAACCCTCTGCCGATCAGACTGTCTGTGGGTGGGGATACAAAAATGCGGAAGTACAATCTGAAGTTTTTACGAAAGCCCTGGAGCGCTCAATACTCAGCAGAATGATGTATTTAGCATCATCTGGAGGACTTTTGCTGATGAATAAACAGGAATTTCATTTGCATATATCTTTATTATAACAATACAAAACAGGTTGATAATAGCAATTCTATTTGCTTGCCATAAGCAGAGTCACTGTCATGGGGTGTAAAATAGTGATTTTGCGTATTTTTAATGTTAGTTTTTAAATGTAATCAAATCTTTTATGTTTAATCGTTTGTGCGTTATTCTTGCATCATCTGGGAATATTGTTATCATTGAAACTGTAGATAATGCATTTTACAATTCAAGATTTTATCTCTTTTTTTTTATCTAAATCTAAATGTTAAGCATATAGTCTATTTCCAGTTTTCAAATACATATCTGACTCAAATCAAATGTTTCAATGTTGCGATTCTTCATTTCTGGTTTGTTTGGTTAAAGGCGAAACAAACAACTAAACTACATTGTGAATTTTGTGCTGATATGTTGAACAGTTACCTGGTTTTGACACTGGTTTGCGGTCCAGGTAAAAGAACGTCATCAGCAGACAGATGAAGGGCAGACTTCTGAGTATGTATATTATCACAACCTCACGTGAACTACCTGTGAGAAACAATTGATCTTTTTAACAGCGGATCTTTTGAGGGAATTCTACAAAACTACAATCACATAAGAAAAGTTAGTAAACCTGAAAAAAAAAATGAAATTCATTTAAAAAAAAATCTTCGATAAATAAATATTTTTTTTCCATATTCATATTTTTTGTAAACATATACATAATAAAATAACTTTATATTCATAATTTACGTCTAATGTATTTTTTTTTAATCAGTATTCATATAACATCTTACCCTTTATTCTGATAGGATCCAAAATGATAGTTTGCATCTTTTGGATGTATTTCCAAAATCTTTCTTCAGTTATAAAATACTATTTAAAGATAATTAATTCTGACACTTGACATTTAGCCTTCTAATTTAAGAATTTATTATAAATGTAAAAAAAATTATTCATTTAGTTTTTTTTTTTTTATTAGACAGAGACAACACCGTTTACACCTGTATTTAGCGTCGTCCATTTGTGATCCGAGAGACCAAAACGCATCTTAAAGTCGGCATGAAACGGAAGTTGAGATTGTCATTTTTTCCTTGTTGTGACGTATATCCGAGTGAAACGGCTTCTGAAATTAGAAAAAAATGTAGGGCAGGGCTTGATTTCGTCCTTCGGGAATTGATTGGATCGTTGGAGGTTGGGCGTTGCAAACAAAATGGAGGCAGATTTGAATGTATCTTCTCTGAGAGGCGGTGCACCGATAGCCGCACCCTCATCGGCTCTGGCCGCACCCTTTCGCCATTGCATGTGACCGAAAGAGAAGAGAGGTCGTTTCGAGGGGGGAGGGAAGGGTAATGTATTTGATTAAAGATTATAAGGGTACATCAATTTAAAAATAATAATGAAGTGCACAGACAAATCATTTATAATAAACACTACAATATTACATATAAAAAGAAGATTTGTCAAATTTGATTTCATGCCGACTTTAATACCAGGTGTGAACAGGACCAGAGAGTGGCAGGAGACCATTGAGACGACAGTCACACCCTGACTCGAAACCAGATCCCCCGTGTGACCCATGACTCAACACACCCAGACAACATCTGCTGCCCCACAGAAAAAGAATCGTGTTTTTGCCCGCTGTAAGGAGCTACTCACTGGCTGCTGGGGATCTGGTGGGAACCTGGACCATTGTTGGTGGGTCTGAAACTATATGAACATTGTCTGTAGAGCAGAAGAATTAGATCATTTTCATTACGCAACAGTCCATAAATATGATATTGCTTAATTGTCGCAGCAGGAAGAAATGCATGTCTTCCAAAATGGTGGTCTTTTAACTGCAGCAGTATTTGTAACTTGGTTGAAATTTGTGTGATACAATCTCAGTTGTTGAATAATTTATTCCAATAAGTGGTATTATATTTCCTGAATCACTTTTAATTACATTCATTATTTTTATTTGGGATTTTTTTAGCATAGATCAGTTGTAAAAGGCTCTTTTGTGCTGAAATACTTTCCAGGCTTGTATTAGCAGCAGGGGATTTGAATTATAATGAATACTGTTGTGCTCAAAAGTTTACACCCCCCTTGCAGAATCTGCGCAAATGTTAATAATTTTACCAAAATAAAAGGGCTCGTAAAAATGGCATGTTATTTTTCATTTAGTACTGCCCTCCAGAAGCTACAGAAGACACTTGTTGCATGTATGTAAACTTTTTTGAAACAGGGTCATTCTTTTAATTCAGCTATTATTTCGCCTTGTGGACTTTGTGTAAACATCTGTTATGTGAAATAGCTTATTCAGAACAGTACTAAAAAAACACAACATGCCATTTTTATGATCCGTCTTATTTTATTAAAATTATTAACATTTTCGCAGATTCTGCAAAGTGTATGTAAACTTTTAAGCACAACTGTAACTGTGTTCTATAGTCTTGTAATAGTATTGGAATTTGTAGGACAATATTGTGACAGAATAATCTTACCAGTCGTTGTCTTTTGTAGTTGTCTGACCCTGACAGATATATCTGTTCCATCTCCATTCACCACAAGCAGGACTGGAATGTCTCGAGTCACTTTACAAACATAATGACCTGCATGATTTTTAAGTATGTTTGTGAGGTGGAGCGTTGAACAGTTCTGTGTTTGATGCTCTTGGAGTTTATCCTTTACTCCAGAAAGTCTAGTCTCATTGATGTACCAAACAGCTTTAACACTTTGCTCGTTTATTGTCTTCCAGCAGCAGGAGATTTGAGCAGAATCTCCCTCATTCACAGTGATGTTAGATGGGCTCTGATTCACAGTCAGCTCCTCACTTGAACCTGTGACTGAGAAATGATAAACAAGCCATTAACATTTGCATTTTCTCATTTAGCAGACACTTTTATCCAAAGCAGCTGACAAATGAGGAAATATTTATGTGTTCGGACAATATATGTCAATATACTGTACATTTGATATAACATTTGGGCTGTACAGGGACATCTAGCATATAATGAGATGTGTATGCATCTCCAAATGTCCTTAACCCCAGGACAAGAAAATAAGACACAAGTATTTGAATAACTAGTATTTTGAGCAGGTGTTTAGGCTGGATGAGGCTCTTACCTGTGAAGCAAATGCTGGAAAACATGAGACCAAAGATGAGAGGCCAGAAAAACTTCATTTCTAAGCATTTGATCACAAATGCAAACTAACAAAAGCGCTGACACACCCGCTCACATTAAAACACACCAACAGTCATTACTTCCTGGACTTGTATCTGTGTGCCCCAAGATGTGATCTCCCCCCCCTCTTTCTCTTCTGTCTTCTGGTTAATCTGCAGTAACTGTATAGAAGATCATTGTTGTAACATTTACCAACGACACATTTTAATTGTTCTCAATATTCTCAAAATGGACCTAACCTAACCTAATACTCCCAATTCATTGCTGTGTAAACTCAATATGTGACTAGTTTGACAAAATGAAATAACTAAAAAAATAAAATTTTAAACATCAGGATGAAAAACAAATAACATCAACATGTTATAATTTAGAATTGTTATATCTTTTTTGAGAATTTTTTGTTCATTCTGATGTTGATGGAATCTCTAAACCCATCCTTTCTGAGAGCCTACTCT